TTTCAGGGGACATCTAGGTCAACTGGCATAATAAAGCTTATTAAGAAAATGTTTTGCATCCTACTTTGATGAGTGGCATCTGAGGTCTTTAAAGCTTGCCAGCAGCCATCTAAGATGCATCAATTGGTCCCAACCACCTGGAGTAAAGGAGAATGAAGAACACCAAAGACACAAGGAAAGCATTAGCCCAAGAGGCAGAAAGGGCCACATAAACCAGAGACTTCATCAGCCAAGACCAGAAGAACTAGATGGTACCGGGCTACCACCAATGACCGCCCTGACAGGGAACACAACAGAGAGTCCCTGATGGAGCAGGAGAAAGGTGAGGTGCATGCACGACTCAAATTCTAGTAAGAAGACCAGACTTAATGGTCTGACTGAGACTGGAGGAACCCCGGAAAGCATGGCCCCTGGATTCTCTATCAGCCCAGAACTAAAACAATTTCTGAGGCCAACTCTTCAGACAGGGGTTGGACTGGACTGTGGGACGTAAAATGATACTTGTGAAGAGTGTGCTTCTTAGCTCAGGTAGATACATGAGACTAAACAGGCAGCTTCTGTCCAGAGGTGAGATGAGAAGGCAGAGAGGTTTAGGAGCTGATGGAATGGACATGGGAAATCGGGGGTGGAAAAGAGTGTGCTGTTACAGTGTGGGGAGAGCAATTAGGGTCATCTAACAATGTATGTATAAATTTTTGTATAAGAGACTAACTTGAAATGTAATCTTTCACTTAAACTACAACAATAAACAAAATATTATTTCTAGCTATACAGAAAGAAAGAAATTATGTGCTATCAATTAGAAGTGAAGCCTGTGCTGGCATAAATGGCATCCAGTAGCTATCAGTAGGAATCTTGATCAGTCTGCATTGACATAATTAGGACAGTCATCTTCCAACTATGGCTTTTAATTGGAGGAGTAAACAAAGCAAAACTGATACACGATCGCTTTTGGCTTAACGTTTGAATTCGAAAACCTTATCAGACCATCTTAAGTGAAACCATTAAGCTATGTTAGGTCTGCATATTTCATAGTCTAATTATGTCTTATTAGCACCATTGTCTTTGATCTATGATTATAAGTCACCTAAGTCATGCTTGTGAGCATATAAAATGACCCTTTCTTCTTGTATACCTCACATTTGAGTTTGTGATCTCTTTACTAAAACAAGCCAGTTATAGATTATATTGTGCACACTTTTTCAGTTTATAAATTTAAATCTTAGAATCCTTTAGGATCATGGCAGAAATTAAATGCAAGTCCTACACTACAGACTTCAAATGAAAGTCGTTGCAAGGGTGGCAGAAACAAGCAACAGTGCGACAGCGAGAGAGTTCGAGGTTGGAGAGTCATCCATTCACGAAGGAGAAAGGAGCTGGAGAAAATGAATCTACGAAAACGTGCACATTGTGGGCCCAAAGCAAAATGGCCTGAGTTGGAAAAAGCTTGAAAGAGTGGATTATTTCTCAAAAGGAACAAAATCAAGCTGTCTCTACTGTCATAATTCAGATCAAAGCAAAGCTTCTGGCCAGTGAAAGAGGAATCCCACATTTCAAGGCAGGTTTCACCTGAATTTCTGAATTCATGAAAAGGAGTGGCGTTTCCCTGAGAATGAGAACCACTGATGATGATAATGAGTGACTAAACTAAAATGGCCTATTTTAAGATGAAAACAATTTCTTCTGGTGACTTTTATTTGTTGATTTCAAAGCTATTGATTATCAAAAATTATGTTTTAGTTTAAGGTTTATGAAAGCAATAAAATATAAACAACATCTTGTAGTTTTAGGCCTAGAATCGTTTCTTTCTTACAGTTTTCTAGCTCTTTGTGCATTCATACTCTTTGATTTCAACGTGAGTCCCATTTCCATCACGAGCCTGTTCCGTTCACCATAGGTTGCTCATGGTCTAGGAGAATACCTACCTTAAATGAAGTTGCCATGACATCAGTTTTATCCCAGTAACATTAAATCTGTTGGACAGGGGAAAAAAACTGAAACTGAAATCAGCAACATGTAAAAAAAAAAATACTGGTATAGTGGGCTTATGAAGGTAAGCATGGGGGATTACTCAGCTTGCAAAAACATGTAACGTGTTTTATTTGTGTAAAAATACATTATTTAATTTTACACATGTAAGTCAGATAATGTATAAGATACCCAAAATAGGCATTTCAGGTATAGTGGTGTTTGTATGAGTGTTTTAAAGTAAAATACTCAAAATAAAAATCAATAATTTGCAATATAAAAGATATAAACTGGTGTGTTGCTTATTAGAGTAACTCTAAGGAGTATTACAAGAGGAATGATCATAAGAATTTTTCTAGTAAAACTTGTTTCAATCTTCAGTAAATATGTTCAATTACAATTATTATAAATTTATTTTGAGTTAAGCCCATTGCATATCTAAAATCATAATTCTATTAGTTTTTTTTCTCCCAGGTTTTAATTACAACAAGGACAGCTGCCGATAATTTTAGCACCCAGTATGTTTTAGATGGCAGTGGCCACATAATTTCTCAGAAACCCTCACATCTTGGTCAAGGTAAGAGAGTAACTTGTAGCATTTTTTACCTTTTCATCTTCATTATTTGTTGAAAAAATTGGTCTCCTTGAATCCAAATGTATTGCTTAGTGTCTTCTTCCTGATAAAGACTAGTTAATTTCCAAGTGAACATTCAGCCTTTAAGCTAGCCATCAATCTCTTAAATACTTAGAGTGGTTCTTAAGAGGAGATATATGAAAGTCTGTGAACAAATCCATGGATTAGTTACTTGCTGTAAAACCTGTAAGAGCATTTATTTTACTATTATGGGATCACTTGGAGTCCGTGGGTGGCACAGGCAGTTAAGCGCTGGACTACTAGCCAAAAGGTTGACAGTTCAGACCCACCCAGAGGTACCTTGGAGGGATAGGCCTGATGATCTACTTCTGAAAAGTCACAGCCTCAAAAACCTTATGGAGCAGTTCTCCTCTGCACAAATGGGGTCACCATGAGTCAGGATTGACTTGATGGCAAGTAACAAGTGTCTTCTTTGTATGTGAAGGATAATATTTTATTGAAACATTACTGATTTGGTAGTCATGGTAATAAACCATACCATCAAAATTTTATGAAATAAGTAATTTAAAATATGCTTATTTACATGTAGAAAACTTTAAATATAGCATAGCGTACATATCATTCAATTTCATCAACTCATTGCTAATGTCGTTTCATCTAATACTGTCCCCCACTTCCTTCCCTTGTCTGTTATTTTGAAGCAAATAAATATCTTAATTATTGTTACTACCTGTAATATAGATCTTTCATGTTTTATACACCTGTATGTAATTTTTATTGCGTTTTAATTGTTATCTTATGTTTTTAAGTTCCTCTGATAACTATTTACTTCTAAGAAAAAAAACTCTTTAGACTTGAGTTTCACATAATTCCTTTAATCTTTTTCATACTGCTAATTTCTGGTAATAGAATGATTAAAGTTAAGAGAATACTACAGGTATGACCACTGGAAAGTCATGTTCAAAAGCATTATTAGATCTGAAAAGGGCCTTGTTTTTTTGGTGAGTTTTCTTTTTTTACCCTTCTTCTCCCATTTGTGTTATAAATTCATGTGTAATTTTTTTGTCCCTCATAATTTATGAAAGTACTGTATTTCTTCTGTGGTTTCTTCCCTTCAGTTTTAACGTTACTTCATTTTATTCATGTGACTTCTGTCTTTCTTCTTTGAATTTTTTTTTTTGGTATCTTAATACTGATACCAGCTTCACTCTTTCTCTTGTTTTATAAATATTCAGCTTAGTTACTGATTACTTTTGCCCATGAGGAATTAATATTTTTGTATCTACACAGAGGAAGAAGTTAATAGGAACTCCTAAGAAAACAAACACACTAATTTTTTTCCCTCATTTAGTTAATAAGCTCAATTCTAATAGCTATTTAATTTGATGTAAAGTAATAAATACTTTATACTTTTCATTTAAAAAATAATAGATTGTGTTTGTTTTACTATATAGTGAAGGTTAGAACAAAGAGAACAGATTTTTTAATATGGTCCCTCTCCAGAAATGCTCTGACCCTAGTTCTTAGGAGATCAAATTAGGAAACCATTAGGAGATATTTGAGTGGCTATTCAGTAGAGGACTTTGAAGTAATCTAGTCACCTAATAAAACTTAAATGTATTTATTTTTATCTTAGTAGTAGCCAGACTAATCTGGATGGCCAGTGGCTCTGCATCACTCATACTTGTCATGCTTCTCTGTATTCATCTCTATGGGAGCTATGAAATAACAGTCCTTAAATAAGGAATCTATCGTATCTTTGCCCCTTTACTGGTTGATTTTTCTTTTCCTGCTGACCTCATTGTTCTACCTTTAGTGAGACCAGGTATGTGTACTAGAGAATTTCTTTAGACCTTGTTTTGTTTAGTATTTTCCCTTTATCGTAAGAACCACCATGCTTGTAAGGTTAGTTGTTACAAAACGATAATTGCCTTTCATAACTTACTTTTTTTCTCCTAACTATAGTTAAATGGCTGGGAAGACAGCGAAATGCCAAGCTCTTAATTTCAAATTGCTCTAGGTAGACATGCTATAGAAATCCAAAACACTTTCAAAAGGCTTACACATTTATATTGCCTTAGCGCTGATATTTTTTGAGTGATTGAGTCACAGACTCACATTTCACCAGCTGTCATTCAGCTTCCATTTAAATATTTTCTGTGTAAGATAAAACTACAGTTCAACCATCTTAATTTATACCTGTGCATTTAGGGTTCTTGTGGATTCATTTTTACTGTAGTGTGAACATCTTTGCTTAGCAGTTACTCTTTAAACCATCTCATAGGATGACACCTATAGACAGCCAACTGTAGGTGCAGGGATAACTTACCCAGGAATCTTACTAAGCATTAGAAAATTTGTTACTCCTTTAAAAAACACATTTTAAAATGTTAAAAATAGTTTATTGGGAATTCCCATTCTATTTTTCCTGAGTGTAGGTATTTATTTTATGGATTAATTTAGCTATTTAAAATGATTTGTGTTAACAGTATGTCATTTTAAATGGTCCTTACCTTCAGTTCATTTCTATTTTAAAATTTTTAAAAACTGACAAGAAATATAAAACTGTCTCCAGCTTTTAAATTCTTTTACCGAGAACTCTGACTAAGTTATTTGTTTTAGTCATCTCCTTTTCTGTCATCACTTCTATTTCCTTTACCCTAGATAATCAGTGCTAAGCTTTCTAAATTGATTTACCCTTCTGGACAAATTCTTTTAACATCTCCTAGTACTTCTGCTTTAGGAATTTCTCAGATATCAAAAGTAGTGTATTCAAAGTACTCCGATCAGAGTATTTCCTTTCCCTGCTCCCTATGTTGTTAGAGTAGGGCATCATGTTTTTTCTAAGTCCCTGCTATGTGTGATTGTGCATATATTGAAAGATCTTTTCATCTTAATTTAAAAATGGAACTTTTATTCATTAAGTAGTTTATGAAAACTTTCTGATATATTCAAGGAACCATACCCTTTACATTAGGAATATAAATAGCTGCCTTGTGAATGGCATAGCATAGGGTCATGTAAAAATATAACGGGGCATATTACAGGACTGCAGTTTAATTCTGGTGTTTGTAGAATGTGCTAAAGTTAGAGAGCTGAGCAGTTCTTTTGTTAAATATGATAGCATACTGGGACGTCCTCCCTATTAGCCAATATCACTTGATCCTTTTTTTTTATTAAGGATACACATTTCATTTGTTATTAGAAAAGTCTTTTCTATCAATAAGTTTTATTCAAACGTGTAAGTCTCGCCTTATTGGTAATTCTCAATTTGCTCTGGGAGAACGTTTTAGCTGCTGAAGCGTTAATTTAGATTAGGTATAGTATGGTCTTTGATGCATAACATGATTTAAAAATCAACAAATATCTTTTCCTTTCTTAAACACATTTGTATTTTGCCGTGTTGATTTCTGTCTGCCTGCCTTCTTTCCATTTGTCCATAGCTACAGTAGATGACATTGTATTTGTCATTTAGGAACTCACAGGCTAGTGGAGAGCACACCTGAGTAAATAAAAATGACAGTAAAATGGAGCCTCACACTGCCTAGAGATAGATTAAAGAGTTTTTTCTCCATTCGAGTTTGAAGATGGTAGGTAAGAGAATGATGGATGTAGATTTCAAGAGACCATTGCTCCCTATGTAGCAGTGAGAAAAAAAAATCCATACAATTGTTTTAAATTGCATTTTTCTTAAAACTGATTGAAGAGCTGTGTCACAAATAAGTTTTCATCTAAGTTTAAGACAAAGATGACCCCCTCCTAGATGAGAAGGGACTGGCAGCCACTTGCGTGCCTGGAAGCATTAATTGTGTCTGGAGGCATATGTGGGCAAAGAAGTGAGCTTGCTGTAGACAGGGAAACTTTTATGGCACTAGTAGAAACCAGCTTAATGTTTTATAGCCACATGTGGGCTGACATGGCAGATTGGAACATGGGATCCTGAAACACAGAACTAGTCTACCCTACATGCCAGATTTTCACATCAAGATTTTGGCTGTATGAGCAGTGATGAAGAACACTGGGACTAAGCTGGAAAGAAAGAAAGAAAGATATTAAAGTCTTGCCGTGCTTAGATCCCAAAGCCCTGCTTAGAGGAAGAGACCTGATTTCATTCTCAAGACATTGAAACTAGAGGTGAACTAAAACTAAAGAAACAAGTCAGGCAAGTCAGCCCTAACCTAGATGAACTCCTAATTAAATTGAAGAGATCTGTTCTTCACTCTAGCTGCTTGACAGAAAAAAGGAAGCTCTTTCTCTGGGGAAAAATACTACTTACTTCAGGATCTATTCTTATATGCACAGTGTCTAGCAGATAAGAGACTGAAGAAGGGAGAATGGGATCCATAATCAAGATAAAAAACAGTCAATGTAAGCAAACTCACAGATGACCTAGATATTGGCATTAAAAGACAGGAATTTTAAAAACAACTGTTAAAGAATTTAGAGGAAAAAATGGTCAGAATCAATAAGAAGATTGGAAATTTCATCAGAGAAATGGAAACTTTAAAAAAAACCAAGTGGAAATTCTGGACCTAAATTACTGTGTTTGAAAAATTCATTGGATAGGGCTTAACAGCAGACTGGATATAACAGAAGAAAAGATTTGTAAACTTGAAGATGGGTCAGTAGAAATTATAGAAACTGAAAGAAAGAATGAAAAAAGACAACAGAGCATCAGAGATCTGTGGGACAGCATTAAACGGTCTAATGCCCATGTGATTGAATCCCAGAGGAAAAGAGAGAGAGAATGGGGCAGAAGAAAAATCTGAAATAATAATGGCTGAGAATTTTCCAAAATTGCTGAAAGACATCAAGCCACAGGTATAAGAAACTCAGTGAACTCCAAATGGAATAAACACAAACAAAACCTCAACTAAGCACATCATAATCAAAGTGCTGAAAACCAGAGAATATTTTAAAGCCGCTAGAGGAAAAAATACATTATATTCAGGGGAACAACAAAAAGACTGATAGCAACTTCT